ATAATGAAACCTAGAAAGAAAGATAAATTCATAAATAAATTCCATTACACATTTTGTATATAAGTCACACAACACAACACAACACAAATAATTTGACCAAAATAGAAAAAAACTTACATTGGATTAAGGTAATATGCCGCCGCATGCAAAGGCCTATGGAGTTGTAAATCCCATCTAGTATCAATAATTTCCCAAATGCGCTTATATCTACCCCTCACATGGTTCAAGTTTGAAGCAATTTCTTCCTTCGCTCTATCCATAGCTTCATAAATAAATCCCATTGCCAGCTTTGCATCACCATCCACAAGCCTCAAAATTTTCACCAAAGGGAGCACACACTTCAAGCAATACTTGATTGCTTTCCAAAATCTAGCATCTCCCAAGATTGTTCCTTGTGCCTTTTTTGCATTAACAGATGTAGAATAGCTACTTCTAGCCCTCTCTTCCGACGCAAACATAGCTCTAAGTTGGAGTTTTCTATCTTGGAAACTTTTTAAAGTAAGGAAAGCGGTGGCAAATCTAGTGACTGCGGGTCTTGTCAGCTCCCTATTCTTTGTAAATTTTCGGAACAAATCAAGCACCCAAGCATGCCTATAAACGTACACAGCGATTTCCTTGGCTTTAATTATTGTATCTTTGAAAACCATCAACTCACCTATGTCACTTAACATTAAGTCAAGACAATGTGCCGCACATAGGGACCAAAACAATTTAGTCCTCTTCTCTTCCAATAATCTACTGGCACCCACATACGCCGATGCACTATCGGTTACCACTTGAACCGCATTTTCTTCACCAATTTCATTCACAATGTCATCAAGCATCTCAAATAATTTCATTGAATTTTTAATTACACCGGAGGTGTCTATTGATTTAATAAACACCGTTCCACTTGGATTTTTAACAAGGAAATTAGTAAGAGAGCGAGACTTTCCATCGGTCCATCCATCGGACATTGTAGTACAACCCGTCTTCTTCCATTCTTTTCTATACACTTCTAAACTTGCATTCACATGATCAACCTCTTTTTTCAAAAAAGATACTCTCACTTCATGATAACTGGGTGGCTTCAATCCCACACCATACTCACCAACCGACTTCAACATCTTCTTAAACAAGGGGCTTTTCACTAAATTAAAAGCCAATGCATGCCCATAAATGACTCTACAAATATCTCTAATCACGGGCTCCCTTTGCTTCATCATTTGATTCAAACCTTGTTGCTTTGCCCTTCCCTTTGTGACATACGCATCCATAGTTCCCCCTTTACTTTTCCCTTCAATATTTTTTTCTTCAAAACAATCAACATCTATAATGTTGTCTTGTTTTTTTCCACTTAAGAGTTGTAAAAACATATTCATAACATCTTCAGAAACTTGACTACAAGCACCAACATTATCATGAGTTCCGGCTAAATGATTTTTCATTCGAATCACTCCACCCCAATAATCTTTTCCACAATAATTACATCTCAAATGTATTCTATTATCATCTTTGACATGGGTACAATGGTCCCATGATGGATCTTGTTTCCCATTTTTTTTTTTTTGCTTTTCATATTTTTTTTATCGATTAAAAAAACAAAATATTTTTTTAATGTCCCACCCACACAGCAACAGCTTCAGTGCTTCTACAGTCCACAATAGACAATAAACTAATGGATACTTCTACAGTCCACAATGGACAATAAAGTAATGGAAAAGGAGGAGTATAAAGTGAATATAGTAAGTTATATTACCTATATGAAGTTTGTTTGGTAATACCTCAAACAAAATTGAAGACGAAAGAGACGACAAACTTTTATACAGCTTTGAAGACTATACGAAAGGCCACGAAGCAGATTCCAGCAGCAAGGGACCACCAACAGTGAGAAAAAGGACCACGAAGCTCTGCGTCGAACAGAGAGGTGAGTCTTTCTAGGGTTTTGTCTCTTGGGAGTAAACAGGGACCATGGGTTACCTTGGTTGGACTGTCATTTGGTCTTAAAAGACCAGACGACCCATCTTGTGCCAAGAAAAAGCAAAAAAATTGGGCCAAAAATTGAATTTTTTCCATTCGGGTCTGAGAAACTGGGTCGACCCGTGACAATAACAAATCGTGCGATTCAGCGATTCTTCGATTCGTATCGTGAATCGATTGATTCAGATATGATTCTGTACCATTTGCGATTCCATGTACTTGTTCAAATCGATTTCTATGTGTTTTGAACCGCGAATCGTACGATTCTAACAATAGAGTACTCAAGTAGAATTACATCACATTGTCCCAAAAAGCGCCTAAAGCTACTAAAACTTACCTAAATTTCTTCTGTAATGGATTGGAAGTTTCTTTTTAAACTTGGAAATAATATAAACTCTAATTTGACTTGGACTCTTTATTTTGGAACTTACAATGGTAATAGATAAAATCTATACAAACCTAAACCTCATACCTAGAGATCCTTCAACATAATTATGCAAGTCCCAAGTAGTTGTTGCATTGAAGTAGATTAATTCAACCTCTTCTTCTTTTTAAATTTGATTTTTCTCTTGAGCTTTTTATAGCCTGGATTTAGTCGCAAACTATTGAGATCTTGAATTTTGCTAATTTTTCATTATGACATTGCTTTTATGGGGCCATTGAATTATCTTATTAATTTTGGAAATGTTTTGTTGATGTTTTAAAATTTCTTGATCATTTCTTAATACCTCAAGAAATATTTTTGTCCCTGAGTCGGTTTTTGTACTTATGTGAAGTTTCCTTTGTCATGCAGACAAGAAATGCAACAGGGTTAGTTGCTCCAGCTATTACTGCGGGTTTAGGTGCCTTAACAAATACATTGGGAACCCTCGTCCCTGTGATTGGAGCAAGTGGATTTGCAACAGCTGCAGCTGCAACTGCTATACGAACTGTTGTTGGCAGTTTTAGATAATCTCTTAATAGTTGTGTATATGTTTAGAAAGTTTGATATGCATAGTTTTGGATGGTTTAAACTTTTTGTACAGTTTAGAACTTAAGGATATAATTTTCAAATGTTTGGAATGTATAGACAATTGCTGACTGTTTATAATTTATGGATATAGTTTATTTTTGAGTTTCAAATAATATTTTGGTGGTTGATTGATGTTTTGTGATGCTTGTTTGTAATATTTGTTAGATTGTACAAAATTGGTCAAATAGTACCTGTTGAATTTAAAAATAAAAAAAATTACATATTCTACGGTTGGCACAATAAGTCATTGTATTACATATTTTATGACGCGCAATCAGCGTCGTTATTTGTTCCACTAATTAACGACGTGCAAAAGTAGTCATAGAAAAAGTAATGACGACACACAAAATCTGCCGTTAAATAGTTTCTAACGGCGTACTATAGCATGTCGTAGAAAAAGTAACAACGACGCACAAAATTTGCCATTAAATAGTTTTTAACGGTGTACGAAGCATGTCATTGAAAGTGAATGATTTCCCATGATTGGTCATAATATGACGTGCAATGCACGTCATAAAAGGGTTTTTACGGCGTGCATTACGCGCCGTAAAAACCTTTTTTTGTTGTAGTGATATAATAGAGTTGAACTAAGTTGGTGATGTTTCTGATTAAAACATGACGAATAACTTAGACTTATTATATGACAGAGTTGAATTATACTTGCATATAATAGAGTTGAACTAAGTTGGCGATGTTTCTGATTGAAACATGATGAATAACTTAGACTTATTATATGGCAGAGTTAAAATTATACTTGTATATAATGGAGTTGAACTAAGTTGAATTAACTTAGATTTGCTGTGTCGACAGAATTAAAACTTTGAATGATACTAAGTACATTTGAGTAAGATTTACAGAGGAACCAAGGCTGAGAACCTCGGCTGGTCTTTGTTTAAATATAACTTTGGCAACAAGGTCATAGCCACATGCTTAATGAGAACCTAAGTGAAACTTAAGTTCACAATAGGGGGCAGAAAGCTAGAGAATGATGCTTGGGAGTTAGAATTTGCAAACTAAAAATCGGCTTAACACTTGTTGAAATTTTCAGAAAAATTTACAAGTTGAAGTTAAGCAGAGGTTATATCGCATGAAGTAACTGCGTACTTGCTGAGATTACCAAGTTGCCAAACCTTGAAGTATGGAATACTGAAGTCTTGATAGAAGACAATAAGAAGGTGGCAAGTTTTAAATAAACACTTGTGAAAATATTTTTTACAAGATGTTTTCAAAAGTTAAGACAAGGCCGAGATAAACAATCAGTAGGTATATCCGAAGCATTATACCCCGAGGAAATTGCACAGTCAAGGTTTACTTTGAAGACATGCAAATTATTCTAAGTATGGAATCATACAAGACAGTAAAGAAAAGACAAATATCAACACTTAGTCAAGAAAGAGGACTTGCATTCAGATAAGGAAGTTGTTCAGATATAAAAGGGCACAATGGCCAAATTAAAGTTAAAACATTGTCCAAAAAGTTACAAAAAACTCCAAAAACAGAAAATATAAAGTAAAGAAGCAACAACTGGTATCTAGACTACTCAGCGTTGGCGGCAAGATGTGTCTCAACCTCAGAAGACAACTATGAACTTTTCTCTGTAGCCTTCTCAGCCTCGAGCTCGGCGTCAATCTCTTGGAGAGTTTGATCAATTCTCTTCTCGACGATTGGCACCTCGGATGTTGTCTTCTGGGTTGAGGGACCTTTTGAAACCTCGTACTCCTCATCCCGAGTCAAGTCTAGGACTTGCTCATTCAGAGTTGGGAACTTGGCCCCAGCAGGAACTTCAGCATCAGCCACCTCGGCCTCTTCGTCTTCAGCCTCCTCTCATTTTTTTTTTCTTCCTCCCTAGCCTTAGCCTCGGATTAGCTAGAAGCGAAAAGAAATGGCAGCGTAAATCGGCCTACATCTCTGAGAGGAGAGTCCTCAGGGACAGCCAACTCCTTTAGAGCAGCCATTCAACCAAGGGTGTAACCCTTGTTGGCTGCCTTTTTGACTTGTTTTTTATAGTCCTTGCGGACATCGGTTGCCCCCTCGGCATAGACTTTCTCATCTACCATTTTGATCTCGGCAGCTTTGTGACCAGGGCATCTCGGAGCTCGGCTTGGGTTTCGATCATTTTTTCCTTGGCCTCTTTCTTCTCAGCCTTGAGGACCTCAGCCACAGCCTCAGCAGCCCCCGCCCTTTCCTCGGCCTCGTCTTGGGCTTGTTTGGCTGCTTTGGCCTGATCTATCAATGTTTTTATCTTGGCCTCGGCTTTATTTATGGTCTTGAGCAAACCAGCAGCCTCCTTGGTCTTGTGGACCAGCTCCTTATTCATTACCTCTGCTTGCATCGTAAAGGAGTGGGCATGCTGGATTTCCTAGAAGAAATGCAAGGAACAAAGTTAGTAAAATGTTTAAGTTTAAAGACCAAGAATGAAGAGTACCAAGTGTTAGAGATTTACTTGTACAGAATGCTGAACCATCAAAGCAAAATTTTCATATTCGCTGACATCGGCCATTCGGTTGAGGTCATTGGGAAGGAGCTGCGCAGTGGAGAGGGCTAACCGACCTCAATATTAGAGGCGCTGTCACTAGCTCTGACTGGCTTATCCTCAATTGTGATGGAGGGGGCCTAGGGGTCATCTGATTTGAGAGAACTCGAGGTGGCTGTTGAGTCTGACCTTGACTTTTTGACTTGGTGGATTCGGAGGGTTCAGCCTCGGCGGGCCTCTTTTCGGCGGCGGAGGAACTTTTTTCTGCCTCAGCCATTTTTGAGATTGGCAAGGTGTCCTCAGAGTCGATCTGAGTCACCGTTGCCTTTTCTTGGGCCTTCTTCAGCCTCTTTAGCTTCGGTTTGGGCTAGGACTAAGAAGGTGAAGATTGCACTGTGACGACATTAGGGATGTCGGCAAGAAGGTCTTCAACAACGGCCTTTTTTTGCCCCCATCTCATCGGCAGAGACGGTAACAATAACTTTTGTGCCAAAACAGATCGCTGGAAGTGCGGTTGGTGGGTTGGCTGGATCGTAAGCCGATGCCTCAGTACTTCGGCGTCTTCAGTTACGAGTTCTGCCTGCAGGGGCAAGAAGTGGAGCTCGACATTGACGTTTGCACTGAGAGGGTGAAATCAGTTATGGAGTAGAAGTTGATGGCTGCTCTGCTAGGTCAGATGTGGAGGCTTGATCTGGCCGGGGTGATAAAGTTGTAGGAAGAATTGTAGCAGAAGGAGGAGACTTGCTTTTTTTCAGGACGTCAGGTAGTACAGATTTGTAAGTTAGGATGTAGTTGAGCAGCAAAGCGGCTTTCTGCTGGTCAACTGGCAAACCCAACAATTTCTTGAAATCCTTGCTCGGATAAAATGTTTTGCGGAAGTCCTTTGGTGGTTGAGGAAGGACTGTAAAGTATAACAAGCAGGCGTTAGAACATACAAAAGTATCAGAAATAAATAAAATACTTGAAAGCAAGTAAAGTGACAC